CAGAGTTTTCTCAAGCCATTCCAAGGATTGGTTCAGGTGCGAAGTTTTTTTCCATTACACAGAACAACACCCATTTGATATGAAAGCGTTACCTTTTTCAAAACCATAGTTTGGTAAACTCCTATATACTTATGTACTTGTCTCCCCAAAGAATGATTTAAGAGTGAATTAAACTTTTTTGTATCATTTTCACATTGCTTGTTGTTCGTCTGATCTGTCGTGGACCTGTTCGTTCCTTCAGTTAGCATCTTGCCTGAACCTTGCATGGTTGCTCGCCTTGACGTCAGTAATCCAGTGAACAACTATTTACTGCTTCCTTTTGAACGAAAAAATTCTGGACTCCAGCTCATCAATGCTTCTTATGGTGTCAAACTACTGACATGCCAATTGAGGCCACGTCCACTTTATCACCGAGGCCACTATATCTAAAGCTCGTTGGATCCTGTCGTATAAATTGCTTAAACTACAAGAGTGCTGAGCATGCATAGAATTTAAACAGATATTTTTCTTCCCCTCCAACGTCCAACGAGCTAACTTACCGGGTAGTCCCAGTTGCTTTTTGCGACACAAAATGGGTCAAGCGCCTGCTGTATAGCTCCGGTTGGCAAGGCATGATAGTGATATAAGAAACAAATAATTTATTTTGAAAGTCCTAGCCCTTCTTCCGTAAAGTAATACCTTGGGAAATCAGGCGATCCTCTGACATAGTCCACTTAACGCTTAACTTCCGCGTACCTCGAAACAGTCACCCGAGACCTTATGGCGACGGCGACGTAAAGGGACTCAACGTCGAGGCCGTCAGTTGCCGTCGGCGTTCCTGCCAAAAGTTTACATTACGAAAAGATCTTGGAAACCGTGAGTTTCTTATTCCAGAAATTGTCAACCTTTGAAAGTTTACTGAGTGTCTTGCCGATTTCGTCCTTGCTAATATCTGCCATGCCAAAAGTAAGAGACACTATTCTCATGGCTTATGCCCGTAATTTGATCGATGATACAGAGTAATTGATTTTATATAACGTTAAGTTCTCCCAAAAATCCTTTTATTCTATATTGGAGCCACGAACGCTTCAATCTGGACATGATGACAGATAAAGAATGCAAGAACTTACTGAAGTATTGAACCCTCCAGGTGCTGATTGTTTGCTATAACGACGTCAACATGGACACAACTGAGGCATTCTACATATTTCTCAGGCGGTTTGCCTGCCCGAGCAGGTAAGTGGAATTGATACCACGATTCGCGATACCTGAGCCTCAACTTTGAATGATTTCGCATACTGTGATGGATTCCATTTGCACTGACTGGATACGTTTGCTGTTGGATTGGATCAGCCGTGGATAAGTCGCCCACCTTTGTAGACATTCACAGAAATTATCAGCGAGAAAGGAGCGGATGATGTACAACGGCCCTACGAAAGTACATTCAATGAAATTTAAGTCCATTGCTACACCCAACGGCCTTATTGCTACCCTCTATGGCCCGGTGGAGAGTAAAAGGCACAACAGCGTAATGTTGGCTCGATCCAAAGTGTTGAACCAGCTTCAGGAGGAGGCACCTTATGCATTCATGGCGATCCAGCGTATCTTCTCCGACTTCACTTTCAGAGTTCATTTCACGGCGTTACTAACAGACCTTCCAAAAGCTTGGAACAAGTCAATGAGTAAAGTGAGATTTTTAATTGAATGGATCTTCGGTGATGTCGTAAAGTATTTTAAATTCTTGGACTTCAAGAGGAATTCAAAGTTATGCTCAAGTGCTGTGGGAAAAGTGTATATTTTATGTGCTCTTCTTCATAATTCTCGGGCATGTTTATGTGGTGCAATTACATCGGAGTTTTTCCAGTTCTTTCCCACAACTGTCCATGAGTACTTTCAAAAATTTCAAGCATGGTCCATAATAAATCAATTTTCCGAATAATTTTCAATCAGTCTTCAGTTTACTTTCAAATAAATTAATCTCCTTTAAACGATCATTACCATGTAAAAGCATTTTAAAAGTACTAAACTTTAAAATTATAAACAACTTTTAAAATTAAAAGATTATATCAAATGATCGCATAACTCATACAAATTATACAAACTGTTGATATTCTCTTCAGACAGCTGATATTCTCTTCCTGTTGTCTATCACATATACAGAAATACGCAAGACATCTGAACCAGAAAGTCCAAGTTTCAAATAAATTTGCGGAACAATTTTATTTGTCAGCAAGTTTTTGTAACAAGAACATAAGCGCCTGGCTTTGCCGCTGCAGAAAAACCATGTTCATACGTTCTAGTTGTCGTAGCTGCTGTTGCTGCATTCTTGCGGTATTCGGTTGTTCCTCGAATCTTTCGTCATGTTTTTTTCCTAGATTCAACTTGCCCTCTGCCTCTCTTACCTCCTTCTCCATTTGCAGCTGTTGTTTCTTTAATGCCGCCTCCTCCAAGTCTTGGCACCAAGGCAAGTCAATGGTTTGAGGCAACTAAAGAAAGCCTTGCCTTTCGAGATATATTTGCACATAATAAAATTCAGCCATGTAGTTTTTTGTTTTTCCCTTGATGCCGTTGAGTACGCATTTGTGTCTGAGGGTGGCCGTGGAGACCAATCGGTGCACGAGAGTGTCTGTCGCATGTGAATCACATGAACGGCCAAAGGTGAGCCTATCCTACCCAGTTCTCAGGATCTTCGCCCAGGTTTTTGATGAATACTTTCAGTTGTTTGTAAAAGGCTTTCTCTGTCCACCCACGGATCTCTTTCCAGTGTCAGCCTACAACAGAGGAGCTATTTTCGGAGAATGGGACTTGTGCAGTTTGTGCAATTGAACCATCTGCATTCAATTTAAGTTGAACCAAATGTATTATGCATTTTTTCCGGTTGAACCATTTGAGCTTGTTTGACCATTTAAACTACTTCAACCAAATAAGATAGATTGTGCAATTTGTGCAGTTTAAATGTTTTTGTAAGTTTGAATATTTAACCAGTTGGAACAATTAAGCTAGATTGTGCAGTTTGTGCAGTTGAAGCACTTAAGCTAGTTAGACCATTTGGACTACTTCAACCAAAAAAGAGAGGTTGTGCAATTTGTGCAGTTTAACTGCCTACGCTAGTTTGACTATTCACCCAGTCGAGCCTATTAAGCTAGATTGTGCAATTGAACCTTTTAAGCTAGTTATGGAGTTTGTCCAGTTGAACAGTTTAAGCTAGTTTGACCATTTGAACTACTTCAACAAATTCAGGTGGCTTGTGCAATTTTTGAAGTTAAATGTCCTCGCTAGTTTGACTATGTAACCAGTTAAATCATTTGAGACAACTTTAACAGTTTCTGCAGTTGAACTGGTTAAGCTAGTTATGAATTTTATACAGTTTAACTGTTTTCGCAAGTTTGACCATTTAAGCAGTTGGAGTTAAATTAAAGAAATTTCGAAAAGAAGTTCGAAAGAACTGCAGACGTTTACCAAACAGAGAGAGAAACACGACAGAAAACACCGTCACTTGCTCAGTAGGAGGTCTCCTGTTAATTCAGGCTCATCTCTGAGAGATAAATGAGTCTTGAACCTTTCCTCCAAGGAGTTATCCGCGCTGGAACGGAGTGGTTTAGAGAAGGGTCTGAAGTTTGCTATTGCTCCTCGCAAAATACCGACTGCCGATATTGTCGCCGCTGTTGAGGACAGTATCCCTCAACTCAACGACGATCGTGGGTATTTGGTAAGAGCAGAAGTAATTAGCATACTCACACGCGCTAAACCTCCTCCCAAAAATATTCAAAAGGATGTTTTCAATGCGCTTATAGCTCTCAAAAAGGATCCGGACAGGCTCGTAATTGAGGACAAGGGTAATTGTGTTGTGGTTATGGACAAACAGCAATATCACGACAAAGCTTTGTCTCTGCTTAATGACAAGAGTACGTATGCTGTCTTTAACTCTGATCCTACCAGTAAAACTCAAAGAAAGTTAAACAAAATGTTGCTTGATTTGAAAAAAGCTGGTATAATTAGTGACTCTACGTACAAAATGTTATACAGTAGTGACGGCTTATGTCCACGTTTTCATGGCTTATCTAAAATTCATAAACCGGGAATTCCTTTGAGACCCATTGTCTCTTTTGTTAATTCTCCGACTTATGCAATTTCTGGTTATCTTGCGAGAATTTTGTCGCCTGTTGTTGGGAATACTGATTACTCTGTCAAAAATCCCTGCGAATTTGCGGATTTCATAAGAGATAAAACTCTTAACGCTTGTGAAGAATTAGTATCTTTAGACGTTGTTTCGCTCTTCACCAAAATCCCAGTTGATCTTGCCGTCAAGGTTGCGGAGGAATGACTCAGAGAAGATGCTTCCCTGGGACAAAGAACTTCCTTGCCTGTGGAGGATATTAGTCATCTGCTGTCTTTTTGCCTCAAAACCACGCAATTTACATATAACGGCGCCTACTACTACCTAAAAGTTTTTGGTACAGCGATGGGTTCGCCCGTCTCTGCTGTCATTGCTAACATGGTAATGGAAGACGTGGAACAAAAGGCCTTAGCCACTTCACCGGTTAAACCCTTTTTCTGGAAATGATATGTCGATCAGTAGAGCCGTCGATGCCATTCACCCTTGAGCGTGAAAAGGATAGACATTTTCCCTTTCTTGATTTAAATGTGTTCAGAGTAATTTAGAGACAAGTCTTTACTGTAAACCTACCCACACCGACAAATACCTCGCTTTCGATTCTCACCACCCTGTTTGCCATAAAAAGTCTGTAGCCAAAACTTTACTTAGGAGGGCTGACTGTCTATCATCTTCACTCGATTCGAAGGCTGAGGAGAGGAAATATGTTTCCAATGTCCTAAAGGCAAATGGCCATACAAAAACTTTTCCCCGTAACTGCCAAAAATCAGTTACAAATAGTAACGCTCTTGATGCAAGGGAACCAGCGACTGGTTTTGCTTTTATTCCTTATATACAGGGTGTTACGGAACCCATCAAGAGAATTTTGAATAGCCACAACGTTAAAGTTGCTCAAAAACCTTTTCAGACTTTGGGGCATATTTTCGCCAAACCTAAGGATCCTGTCACGAAAGAACAACGAACCGACGCCATTTATTCTATTCCTTGCAATGACTGTGACAACGAATACATCGGACAGACCAAACGTCAGTTTGGTACACGGTTAAAAGAGCACCAAAAAGCGGTTTTCCTTTGCAAAAAGGAAAATTCAGCTTTATCGGAGCATACATGCCTAACTAACCATACAATTGGGTGGGATAATTCTAAAATTATCACCACTAATCGGCGTTACCACCAGCGCCTTTGTTTGGAGGCTTGGCATATTATCTCCGCTCACGCTCCTTAAAATCGTGACGGTGACGGTTTGTTTGCTACCTGACGCCTATTTACACCTCGTCCGAAAAAAAAAAAAGCCGCTAATTAGTGATCATATAATAGGACCTCTTGTTGCAGCGTTTAGATCACCCCTGATGAAGGCACTAGACAGGAGTGTCGAAACGTTGGGTCTATGAATTGTAACTTTTTCGGTTACATTCATTAAATCTGCAAACCAGAGTAGCATCAAACTATGTCCAGTTGGAACAAATAGGCTAGATTGTGCAGTTTGTGCAGTAGATTCTATTAAGCCAGTTATGCATTTTGTCCAGTTGAAGCACTTAAGGTAGTCAGACCATTTTAGATAGATTGTGCAATTTTTGAAGTTAAACTATCCTCGCCAGTTTGACTATGTAACCAGTTGAATCATTTGAGGTGACTTAAGCAGTTTCCGCAGTTGAACTGATTCAGCTAGTTATGAATTTTGGCTGGTTAAACCATTTCAGCTAGTTACGCATTTTGTCATTTTCGCTAGTTTGACCATTTTTTTGAACCACTTCAGCCAATTAAGATACATTGTGCAATTTGTGCAGTTCACCTCGAATGTCAGACAATTCGCCCCGACAATTAGCCCCCAATTTCAATACAATTCACCCCAATGTGAAAACACCCAAATTATTGTAGAAAATATAGCTTTTGTCACAAGGCAATCATTTCTTGAAAGAAAAAAGAAAACTCGACTACTCGAGTCAACCGAAACCAAAATAATTTACTGATCGTCAATCGCGTGAGCGTAAGATGCTGATACGTGTTCAGTTCTTCGGTTTTAGACGCGCGAGAACGCGTTCGCCCTTATTATACTTATAAATTCGACCGTAGATAGCTTTGTTTCATGTACGATGGGCACGAATGATTCGGTTGACTGACTCGGTGTTTTCACATTGGGGGTGAATTGTCTAAAAATTGGGGGCGAATTGTTTGAGGGGCGAATTGTCTAAAAATTGGGGGCGAATTGTTTGAGGGGCGAATTGTTCGAGGGGCGAATTATTCCGATACCGTTTACCTCTTTCTGCTGGTTTGACTATTTTAACTAGTTATACCGATTAAGCAAGATCGTGCATTTGGTGCAGTTGAACCATTTAAGCTAGTTAGGCATTTCCTCCGGTTGAACCATTTGAGCTAGTTTGACCATTTGAACTGAGGAGGGCATTGGGGCCCATTAGAAACCTTAAAACCGTAGAAAAAATCATCCAAAACCGAAAAAAAACTCGATCAAAACCGAAAACGGCATGCAAAACTGTCAAAATCGATACACTTTCACATCCCAGTTATTAAAACCCTGATCGTTTCGATACAGTGATGACAAGTGTAGCGTACAGAGTAAACTACACTAATTTCATGACAGGATCCATGAATACCATGCACTTGGCATTCGTATCTTCTAGTATCTGCTTAAATTAACAGCTACGCTCTCGAGGACCTCGAGCGTGGTTTCTGCGGACTCAGCAGCTGGTAATGGAGCCTAATTAAATTAAGGAAATTCGCACAAAAGCCCTCCATAGGATTGCAATTTTGCAGTCGCAAAAAGCTATAGCTCTGGAAAGTTTCATCAAAAATCCCTGATCTAACATTTCCATTCGCGAACTAAGACCTGAAAGTTTGGAGATTCCACTGGAATGTTGAATCAATCAGTCACGTATGGCCTGTAACTTGGTCATCAACTTCGAGGTGGCGTTGATAAAGAAACTTTGGAAATGATCCGTGCTTAGCCATGCCCTACGTGCAGGCGCGTAGCCGTACCCTCCCTTCTTTTCCCCCCCTCAGGGGAGGGGAGGGTACAACTACACGTAGGCTACCTAGGGATCCCTGCGATATTTCAATTGGTTTGTCACTCATTCCTCTCGATAAAATTTGCGTTTAGCGGCTATTCGAGATTAGTGGAGGCGCGTAGTTGCCGCTCAGATCGAAGAGAAACCGGAACCCAAATAGGTCTAATTGGAAAAACCGAAAACTGCATCGGATATCAAAGCCGAAAACCAGTTAGTATTTTTGCGAAAACCGAAAACCAAATGCTAAAAAAAATCCGGAAAATCCGCAAACCACCAAACCGAAAAAACCACCAAACCGAAAAACGAAGTTTTTGGCACAAAAAAAACCGAAAAACCGATCTAAAACGTAGCCAAAACTGCAAAACCGAAAATCCTAAATCCCCCCTTTGAACTACTTTAGCCAATTAAGATAGAATGTGAAATTTGTGCAATTTAACTGTTTTCGTTAGTTTGACTATTTTAGGTATTTGAATCTAGATTGTGCAGCTTGTGCAGTTGAACCATTTAAGCTAATTGTACATTTTTTCAAGTTAAACCATTTAGCTAGTTTGACCATTTGAACTACTTTAAACAACTACGATATATTTTTCAATTGTTTTCAGTTTAACGGTCTTCGCTAGTTTGATTGTTTAACCAGTTGAGCCAATTGCGCTGAACTGTAAACTATTTTTATTACATGAACAACGATTCACTGAAATCAAATGCATAAATCCGCTGAATAAAGCAAAATAACCGAGTCACAAAGGATAAGAAAGCTAAACAAAAACGATGGAATAGTACAAGTTATTTGTGTCTTGTCCCGCTACAAAAAATGAAATCTTGTTCGGCAATCTTAGCAGAAACTAAAACTTAAACTCAAAACAGACCATGTGCTCTCGAAAACTTGATATCTTACCGTGACTGCAAAATAACCAGCGGTACACTGAAATATCTACTTGACTGTCCGCATTCGAATCAGGTCGCAGAAATGACATAACTACTTTCTAGGCAGAACCAATTCTGCTGGATCGTGCAGTTTGTGCAAGTTATGCAGTTGAACAATTTAAGCTAGTTTGATCATTTGTGACTTCAACCAATTAGTTATTCAACCAGTTAAGTTAGTTTGGTTATTTTAACTACTTTAACCAATTATGGTAGATTGTGGAGTTTGTGAGGTTGAACCTTATAAGATGCTTGTGCATTTTTTTCAGTTTAACCATTTAAGCTGGTTTGAGCATTTTAACTATTTCAACCAGTTAAGCTGGATTGTGCAATTTGTCAGTTTAACTGTTTTCGCTAGTTTGACTATTTAACCAGGTAAACCAATTGAGCTAGTTTAACTATTTTAACTACCTGAACCAATTCAGCTAGATTGTGCAGTTTGTGCAGTTGAACAATTGAAGCTAGTTTGATCACTTGAACTACCTTAACTAAGTAAGATAGGTTGTGCAATTTGTACAGTTCAACTGTTTCGCTAGTTCGACTATTTAGTTGAACCAATGAACCATTTCGGAGGCTTGTTGCGTGGATGTGATTAAATTTGGCTGCTTACCTGCTGTAAACTGTCCAGCTTTATAGACTTTGAGTTTTCTACCTGTTGAGATTTACCTGCGTCCCTATACAGTCATTTAAAGATAGGGTGAACTTGTCAATTGCGTGGAGTTTTGTGCCAATTAAATGACTGTAAGGTTAGTTGTATTGCTTCTTAGAGCTGGTGGGTACGTACGGTGAATCAAACGTTCTCACAGGTTGTGCCCAAAGAGTTCATGCCATGATGCATCTGTTCTTCACAGTTACTATCCAGTGCACAATCATTTGCAAAATTTAGATCACGGATGGTGGTAAGACTGACCTCAAGTGTTTCCTTAAGTCGTCTACGATTGTGAAGCATGTGATCAGTTCTATAACGAGTTTCTACGCCTGTATCACCTTGTGAGAATGCACCTGGGAGCATTGTAGAGAGCATCATTGAGAAGAAGGTTGGGCGAGAACACACACGTGTTTCAAGCCATTGTTGACCGGGAAATATTTCCACACCTCACTATTTTACAAGTTCCATCATTTCATTAAGAAACTTTCCAATCATGGTGATGATAATAGAGGTGCATCTAGCTTTGAGATGACTTTCTATAGATCATCACGACTGACCGTGTCTAACGCCTTGGTCAGGTCAACAAAGGTGGTACAAAGGTCCTAGTGTTACTCCTGGATTTTCTCATAAAGTGACGAGCTGTAAATATCACATGTACTGTTCCGCTGCTGCTTGTTCGAAACCTGCACGGACTCTCGGGCAGGAGACCTTGTTGCAAATGTTTGATGAGTCGATTAGGCATGACTCTAGCAAGGAATTTGCCTAAAACTGACGGCAGTAACGGTGTTCCCTTGTGGTTGTCGTAGGACTGCCTGTTTCCTCGCTCTTACAATTGGACAATGATAGCCTTATTGAAGTCTTGAGGTAGAACATCTTTGCTCCAAAAGGATGAGAACATTTCACACAGATTTTGGGTGACTATTTTATTTCTTGCCTTTCATATTTACGCAGGAATGGCGTCTGCGCCTGGAGCCAGGTGTCTTGCATTTTTCTGAGATGCTCTTGAGTTTACTATTGCAGGCAATAAAGACTTTCATTTCGATACTGATGTTGCGCTGACTTGATAGGCAAGAAAGTGCTTACGTTTCTGCTCTAAGAGTTCGTTTATTTCCACACGTTGTCATCAGACCAATCCTGATTTTCCTAAGAGACCGAGCCTAGCTGTTGCAGTGATGCAGTATAGAAAAATCCACTCCTCTTTAAGACTTATTTCACGGAAATGGAGATCAGGAAGCTTATCCATGAGGTCACTGATGACTTAAGTTCATTCATTTTCCCGAATAAAAGATTCCAGTTCACATGGAGGAATATTAATTTCATAATCATCTCAACTATATCTCTGTGGCTTAACGGATGATTCCTTTTTGGTATTTTAATCTTCTGTAGTGTCACAGTAAGAACTGCAATAACTTAGGTGGCTTCGCCTCCTATAGGAGATGCGAATTTTTCACACCTTGTGCGAATGTTTTAAAGGTGTTTCTGAGAAATTGCACCACAATATCTCACATTTTATGCAAAATTTTGTGATTATTTTGAAAAACATTGCTGAGATGGTCGGGATTTTTGAAGAAAAAGATTTTTTAGATTTTTAGAGTTAAAAGAGATTTATAGACATTTTTTTGAAGAATTTCTTGATAGATTTTGGGAATTATGTATCTTGGCCTATTTTGAGATATCAATAAAGTTGTGTTCAATATATGACATGATTTCAATTTGAGAGTTCTCTTACTTAATCTTGCGCACCGTGACTTATAGATGAGAACTAGATCCTTGTAACAAGGATTCCCATCCTTCCCATCCTTTCCTTCCTCCCCGCGAGCCAGTGATGATAAACATTTTTTTTCGAGCTTTCTCTAACTAATTATTTAGCGGTCCTAGATTTTATTTGAATGTAAGAGCTCTTGCTGTTAGGTATCTAAGTGAATACTCTGTGAGGTTTATTGAAAGCAATACTGAGAACTCCTGGAAAGGGTATTTTATCTAACAGGTACATGGCGTGATAATCTCACCAATCAAGCAATTGCAGACAGACGAATGATAGAACCAATATGACAGAATCCAATCACTGAACTACTGCATGATGCCACAGATGTTGGAATTTTTCAGATCGCTCAAATAGATGAAACCGTAGCATTAATTTGCACTTAGCTCGATCATTAACCATTTACACCCTTAGGTTGGTACTCATATTCTCCACACTGATCTCTCTACATTTCCTGTGGTAAGGACAAGGAGAATTTGTTTAACAATCATGAGCTTTTCAAATTGGTTATTATTTTCATTTTTCTCATTACCTATACATTCAATTCAAGGTTGATACTGAAATGAGAAATTAGAAGGCAGTCACCCTTTAGAGTTAATGGGTTAATAACTCAGAATTGGACGTGAATGAAATCGCTCTTTTAAAAAAAGAAAGAAGGGAAAAGAAAGCGTTTTTTATGACGGAATACAGGAAAAAAAACTGCTGCAAACAAATGGAGATTTAATCATTATGATTACCCCTAGCTTAGTGCATGGTGAGCCAACATGGATATTCAATTTGTCCTTGATGTTTAAGCTAGCCTTGTGTTATGTATATTTGCTCTTGCACCTCAAAGGCACAAAAAAAGCATCGATGAGATTTAGCGAGCTGCTTGTGATGAAACCACAAAATAAAATGATAGTTTTAAGCAATTATTCGGACGTATAGGTAATAAATTGCTAAACAATGTTGAGATAAGCGCATACTCCATTGACTCTGCATGCACACTTTACTATCCACACCAGGTCTACATGTTGAGGTCCTTACGATTCAGAGCCCACGTATGCGTCCTAGAGTTTCAAAAAGTCTGATTACAGATTACTTGAGACTCGGAGGGTAACGGAAAGGCTCTGGATGTGCTATAAGAGCCCTGACCCTGCCATCGCTGAGCATTTTTAAGGTCGATTATTGTCGAACGCGGATGAAATTTTTGGGGTATATTTGTTGTGTTTAACAATTGGTGCCGCTTTACTAATAGCCTTTTGTAACAGGGACGTTAAAGAGCCCTGTGACCTGCATCAGTTCTCCTTTTTTTTCTTTTTTTCTTTTTTTCTTCCTTTTTTCTCAAACACTTTTTTGGAGCAAAACGGACATATCGTTAAAGATTCCAAACATGATAGGAAAATTAAAGAGAAAATGTTCCCAATAAGGCAAGTGCGAACGGTACCCTAAAACAAAGCACCACCCTAATGGTTACCTCGGCTGAAAACAGCCTACCATTCTCAAATAATGTTGCGCGCGTTGATTCTGTTATTTTTTAACATAGAGAGCAAATTACTAAAGGTTGATTGGTTCAGATACAGGGAATTTTCCCTTTATTTTGGTAATTGCCCTAGGGAAAATAACCCAAATTTGAAATATCTTCTGTTCTGATTGGCACCTGAGCAGGCAAGATGGGCGCGGGACTGCCCGCTGTGATTCCGCGCAAAAACAGCTGGCCTCCTTTCCCGTCTCTCGAAATAAACAAGTCTTGATTCGTAATAAAGCGGCGATGTTTTTGCTCTATAATAAATCCGATATTGACCAAGCTTTTTCGGTCGAGGTGGCTGGATATTAGTGTCGTTCTCTTTTTCCGTTTTTATGGAAATAAAACACAAAAAGAACTGACCCAATATCTAGCCATCTTGACCTCACGCTTGGTCAATGACGCTATATGAAAAATTGCGTTACTTCCGATTCTTTCCAAATTTGGAGTATAAGATGTTGAAAATTAAAGCCAATTTGGTAGTTAAATATGCACTACACAACTAATATTTCAAGTTCAATCGGCGTCGATGTGAGTCGATCTTATTTTATCCCCGTTGATGATGATTTAGAGGTTAAATTTATCATTGGAAACTCCGTAGATGGAATAGACAGTGGTGAAGGACGCAGACTTGATCGGGGGGTGGAAATTGAGATCGAGAAATCGAGAGCCATCGAACATATAGTTTTGAAAAGCATAGTCGTTCACCTCCAGTAGCCTATTTCGCATTCGCGTGCAGTTCCTGAGTTTTTATCAAAAATTTGTAACAAGTATCTGAGACCAAAGAGCCCCATAATTTACGCCAATGGATGTGACTCAACTATGCGATTCAAACCATGTGACGCGTAATACGATTGGTTGTTTTGTTGCCATAGAGAAATGCATATTTTGATTGTAAGCGATTACTAGTTAGTTTGTACGTGTGTTTTGTTTTAGTCAACTTCAATTTAGGAGCGGAACAAACCATTGTCACATTGGTATTCTTAGCAAAGGAGAAGATGCTATAATTGAGGAGGTGAGTGAAACGTTTTCATCGGGTATAAATTCAGAATAACAAGTACAATCTTTTAATGCTTATCCTCAAAAATAACTCAGAATTTTTAAGCCCTGTTCAAACGGTCACGATAGTTCATGATAGTTGAAATAATCATTTGCCGTTATGTTTGCGTTCAAACATCTCATGATAGTTAACAATTGTTCACCAAAGTGGAGGTAAATATCAGGTAATTTACTGTCAACAACTGAGTTGAAAACGTAAATTGGCCACCGTAAAGAGTTAAAAAGCTGACGTTTCGAGCGTTATCCCATCGTCAGGGCGATTGACGAAGGACTAACGCTCGAAACGTCAGTTTTTTTTACTCTTTACGGTGGCCAATTATGTTTTCAACTCAGTTGTTATCTCTAAATTACCTGCTATACCCTCCCACCGACGCAGCACCACAGTATCTTTAGAAACTTACCCTCTGTATTCATGGGGGTAAATATCCATCATTTTCATCGACACTGAGGTGATTAATTTGTTTCAGTATATATAGTATATCACACAAGAACCATAAACTTAGTTTATTTCTTTTAATATACCGAATAATGGTGGGAATTCAATTCTTGTTGTTCAATTTTTTCTCATCATCTGTTCGGAGGTGAATGGTACTTGCCATTCAATTCTGAACTAGCCAATCAGCACATGAAAAAAAAATCCATTCACTGAATGTGTGTTATATACTAATTGATTATAGCTGTTGAAATCATACAATGGGATTTTACTGCCGGCTGATACCTAGTATCTTAGTGTGTGAAATTGTAAGCAAAATATCAGCCAAGAAGAGTGCTTATCACCACAAATGAAGCAGGAAGGAGTGGATATGAAGTCAAGAAGTTACAAGCAGAAGACAGAAGCCTTTAACCCTTTAACTCCCAGATCAAATTTGTCATTCTCCTCACTGTCAACCATACAATTCTTATAATGTTAGTTCAGATAATTTAGTATTGGATCAACAAATTATCCCCTAATTTATATTTTTCGCTATTCTCATGACTTATCTGGTTGATATTGCATTGATATTGTAAGGAGAAATTCTGTCTTGGTCACTCATGGGAGTTAAAGGGTTAAGGAGATGTTGAAAATGAACTTTCAGACAACCTATAAAATTTTGACAACTATTTTACCCCTCTTATGATTTTCCATTTCAGTTTGAGCCTATTTTTGGCAAAACCACAGACTGAAAAACTAGTTGATTATAGTTTTAGTTCAAATGTGCACCATAGTTAGTTACTATCATTGTCTATCTGTACCATTTCTATAGGGCTTTGCAGTAAATCAGTGTACATGTTTTGAACTTGATATGTTGACTTCATTTGAAATACATTTTTGTTTCAATGTGTTGGTGTTGACCCCAAATTTCTTCTGCTTCTGCCCCCCCAGTTCTGTTTTGCCAGCAGTTAGTAGTCTCATATTTTCAAAGAGCATCAGGTTTATTTTTCTGATGAGAGTGCTATATTCAGGCCTGAAATTATACTTCAGTTCATTTCCCCAGGGACATTGTGAGACAGTTTTGTGAATTTCCTGAGAATGATTTATCATCTGTGAATACTTAAAGCCCACTGCTCCTCATATTTCCTAACCAAACCCAAAGTGAGTTTAGGAGTATTTCAGCTTTCTCTGGGAACAACATATGCTTTGTGGTGTATCATAAAATGAAAAGGGGATATTTAAAAGTTTGGTTTTGCCATAGTGCCTGGAAGTGCATGCTAGAAATGATTGAAATTGCTTTGCATTGTGTCATACCGAAGAGTGTCATAGCTTATTGTTTTGCAAACCATATTTCCCATTGCTTGATTTTAATCACTGTCAATGGTTTTAGATGTTTTGTTACTCAAAGGAAATACCAAAGAAGAGACAAAAAAAAAAAAAATAATTGAAGATGCAAAAAAAAAAAAAAAAAAAAAAAAAAGTGAAGAATGTCATAAAAGCCACTTTGCAGCATTCATTTTAACTTTGTCAGTCATGAGTTATGATAGTTGTGTTTTGATGCTAGTTTTGCCAAAGAGACCTCCTATTGATTAGCAAGGGATAGTGGAGGGCATATTTATTTACTTAGTAACACTTCAAACCTGCCCCCATGCTGACACACCCCCATTTTTCCCAAAAATATTTCTTCCCAGTAAGTGTTTGACTGACATTGGAAAACATGAAAATTTTGTGAAAAGATTTAGAATTTACTTTTCTCCTTTCAAATTTTCAGGAATGTGGCTGACATCTGGAGGATCAATTTTGTATTACTTCATAATAATTATTCATAATAATTACTGACATTTTGATGAAAAATCTTTTTTTCCTCAAATATGATAACAAATTTATGCTAATTTTTCTGAAATTCTTATTTTAATACACTTTAATGTAAGATAATGTAGGGCCTTATTGCTATAAATACATGTAGAGGTAAAAAAATGAAAACACAGTGTGGTCAATTTCATGTATTTTTGGGGGCCATAGATGAGTTAAAAATTGCAAGATCAGTACTAATATATATGACCTAAATGTAAATGAGTGAGCCATTGTTTTATATATGTTAGTGCATCTAGTTCAATCTGTTTCCTAAGGACTGTGAAAGGTGTTCACTGTAGTTTAGGGTAAAACTTTGGAGTCGAGGGAAAGATCATTTTCCTTGATGAAAATTGAATTAGTTGGTAGTGACAAAACTAATCAGTGATCGGTACAGCATTCTGTGCCACACAGCTTTGGTCCCATAACATCTACTTTGTCAGTTTTTCTAAGTCATTGCATAATCTGGTGACTGACATAATATGATATGTCTCTGTGTAGAACAGCCCACACATTACTCAAAGTTCTGTTAATAGACAGACATCTTCTGATTGGACATGGCACTACTGGATGTACTGAAAGAATGATACATAAGGGAACTTATAAGAAACAATAAGCACATTTAGAGGTGCTCAAAAAAAAAGCCATAAAGTTACATATATTGTTAAGTTCAAAAAAAAGGCACTAGATAGAGCTCTTTAGAGGATTCCATGCACAATCAAAATCCCTTGGTAAGATAACTCTTCTGCCAAAAGAGAACTAGTAGTAATAATAATGATAATAATAATGAGACTTTGATGATGTTCTTTTTGGGTCTGAGAGTCTGTGTCACCTCAGTATAAAAACCTGATCAAAGAAAATGGGTGGTGCTTGTGTTCTTTAGAGGGTAATTCTTTGAAATAAGACCTTCATAATGAGGACTCCCGAAGAGTCCCTTTACTTTGTTCGGAGAACACACACCTTAATTCCTCTCAAAAAAAGGGAGAAAACAAAAGACTGGAAAAATTTTTTTTTTTTATAAAGCACCTTAGGAGGTGCTCTAAAAAAGTCATAAAGATACTTACATTAAGAATTAATGTAAAGAATACAGTTTTTAACAAAGTACACTCTGAAATTCTTAGTATCACTCAGGCACTGTGTGTATCTGAATACACACGGTGTGTGTACTTTATGAAGAATTTGAGTGTGTAAACCATTAAAAGATGATTTTTTCGTTAATCTAAGTATCTTAATGGTTTTCTTGGGCACTTCTTCATGTGCCTCAGGACACAAAAAAAAAACTTTTTCCAGGTTCTGTGTTTTTACCTTCTTGTGAGGACTCAAGATGTGTGTTATACGAACCGACTTATGAGGACCATTAAAAAAGTCCTCACTATGATGGTCTTTTCTCTTATTACAACGTATTTATGAGGACTTTTTTGTGGGGACTTGAAAATGTCCCCACAATTTGAACAGACCCCACTTTGCTGGTGTGTATTCATATGAATGTCCCCATAGGTGTGCAAAGGTGCACGCACACACGCACACACGCACACACACACACACACACACACACACACACACACACACACACACACACACACACACACACACATACGCACCTTTGGCAACTTGTGAGGACTGTGTTTACACACACCGCTTGCGGGGACCCCCCCTTCTGCTGGCAGTATCAAAATAAAAACTACGATGTTTGATAGCTTGTTTGCCTTACTCTTTATACACTTGATTAGAATTGAGGAAATTTCAATTTTTCTTGTGGGGACTTCCTTATGGGGACCTGTCCATTACTCAACTTTGCCTACTTGTGGGTACTACTTTTAATATAAGACTTGTGAGGACATACTTACCTAACTTGTGGGGTCTCTGTTTCCACACCCTCTTATGAGGACCACCTCTCCTTTTGCTGGAGAAGGCGAAGAAGTTTTGCTGAAGGCCTGGTACTTTCCTGCAGCGGAAGAAAACCCTCGTGATTAAATACTAATAATGAAGGCCCGTTAGCGTAATCGCCTTTGCAGTCGTTGTTTGGTCTTGCAATGGGAGAGAGACTGCACTGCGTGGCGAGACTAAACAACGGCTGCGACGGAGACTACCGCAAGGTTGACACCAATGGAGTTTAGTGTTGCTTAAAACTATTCAGACACCAGTGACAATAGACCAGAAAAACACCTGTGTCTAAATTCATTTCAGATAAATTGAATGGGTCTTTTTTGCTCTTTAATGAAATAAATTTTTGTCGGAATCTTTTGAAGTTAATACTTTTTCTCTTTTTACAAAAATGAAAACGTCAGTCAATTAGTGTCCCACCTGAGCTTATCCATCCAAAGAAATAACTTTTGCATGCATAGCATGCCTACAATGAAGGATGACTGCGACTTAAGGAAGCCCAACTGAAAAAATCTCAAAAGTGACCCTTCAATTTGGGATAAAATACTCTTTGCAGGAAAGACCTAATCTTTATCTTTCAAATTCGAAACTCAAACCTGCGGGTATCTTTCTGTGAAGAAGGCAAGAGACAGTTGATATAACTCGAATCCTGTAATGTTTACAACAAAAGTCCAACTGTCACGCTTTCAATAACACCAACTCGACAGTAATGATTTTAGGAAAAGGGCACAAAAATATTTATTGTAAAAGCTTTCTGAATTCGGCTTCTTTGATTAAGAGATGGCTTTTCAGTTTGGTGTATGAAAAACCCATGATATTGGCCAACTGGAGGAAAGGCAATACTTGACAAATACAAGTTGAGCACTACAATGGGTTCCATTTTGGTAACACACCCTTTTTTTTAACGTCTAATTTGGGGGCTGAGGTTGAACGTTCTTTTTTATGCAATTTGAGTCTGAAAACGTTCTTAAGATGTTCTGAAAGTTTTATTATTACGGACTAAATTCGACCACAATATGAGTTGTTCTTCAGTTTATCGTACAACAGTAAAAAAAAACCGCATTCTTAAGTATTTGAGTTTATTGTCCTGTTTGACCACAGTTTAACATTTCTTTTGCCTTTATTTATTCTTCTCATAAAAAAAAAAGATAAAAAAGATGAGCAAAATGAAAAAGTTCTCAACTGACTCTCAGCCTGGGTATGTTCTAAGAATGTTTTAAAAATTTGGGCTAATCTCAGCCTAAACGTTCCTATTAAAAAGGTTCTTATAAAAGAAAAAAAAAAAGGATCTAGTACTTGGAACTTAATTAATATTGGCTTCCATCCTACACGTAGCATATATATAAACCAGACTGGTAAGCCCTCCTCATAATCTTGGAACTTCAGGTGGCTTTTCACAAAAAAAAAGGCAAGAGAAGTTTGAAGTTAATGGAACTGTAACACTTTAATATAATTTTAAGCAGCGATGTCTATTTAACTGTCACAGGAGAGTTATCAACCAAAGCCACTCACTGGTGAGTAGAGCAGATATTCTGCATCCCATGTTGCAGACATCTTTTTAGTGAGATTGGCCATAAAATTGTATGCTAATGGCTACTAAAATTTAACTTAAGACGTAGTTTGGTTGCACAACCCTCTGATGTTGGTTTCACAATGCTTGATCAATAACAGTTCAATTCAACCGCTGTAGTTATAAATTTTTTTGTTAAAATCATTATGCAAAACTCTCTCATTCGTTTTGCTTACACTCCAGAAATGAAGCACTCTTAGTTAGTGTATATTAAAATCCACCTCTGGAATTATCAATGATCAAGTGTAAGAGACTTAAAAACGGTAAAAATTCTGGATATAACCCTGAGCTCATAATTAGGAGCTTTTTGTTGTAAAGAAGATATTGCCCAATTAAAAACTAGTTAGGCCTACAAATGGATGGCAAATTGCTTCTAATATTTTGCAAAATACATATAACAATACTGCATTGTATATATTTATAACTTAACAAGGCCGGATCAGTGGTTACAAGCTACAATGCAATACTGGCTGAAACTACACCCTTTAACCAAACAGTAATGATATGGATAAAAAAAAAATTCTGTTTAGTCATATTAAGAATATTGGTGGGTATGTAAGGTCTACAGAGCTTACTATCAGGATATATAGATTTGAGAATTTGGTAGCTTATATTGAGGTTGGGTACTTTAATATAGGCTTATATCCAAATGTTCAGGGTGTGTTTTTTATAACAGTATAACCCAAACATTTGCAGGAGCCTTAGATCCTGGCGGATTATACAATTCACTAAAACTGTAAGCGCAGGAGTATTTATAAGAAGTCTTGGTAGGGCTCACCTTCGGTAACAGTGATTACGTGATGAGAATCTACAGAAACTTTTTAAAATGATTGATAAAATAAAGGGAAGCTCTATTACTTTTGAAGAAAATTGAGGCAACTGGAACATACTATTTGCCTTTGAATCAGGAGACCCACACAAACTTTGACTATAAGTAATATTTTTAAATATTGCGAAATGCAAAGCAAAACTTCCCTTAACTATCATAATATTAGCAATTATGTCCAACAACATAGCGAATATACTAATTATCTCAGTTGTATTTTGTTGTCCTTGCAGCTCTTGGGGTGAAATTTTAGCAAGGTAACAGGGTAGTCATTAAGGGCAGGGGACCAGGGAGTTTCCTTAGTTTCATAGAGGATAGAATAAAAATAGAACCAAAAAAAAATAAAACCAAAAAAAAGGAATCTGCTTAATTTCCTGCCTTCTTTCTGTAGTTACCCAGAAACTTGAGATCTTTGTGACAGCCCTGAGATTGGAAGAGTTTGGCAAAACAGTAGGTTACCCTGCACAGGATTAGTTATACTTTGAGATAACAAAAACAGAACGATTCTATTAGTTATACTTAGGGGCAAGAACCTGCTTTTTCTTGTCAATCTGATTTTTCAAAAAGTATTAAACAGCATGCCGGTCCTTAAGTTGTTTGTATTTTAAAAGCAAGTGTTGCACTAAATGCACCATTTGCTTTTAAAATACAATTCTAAAAGTTTAGTTTTCTTAATAACGTCATTGTTTGACAAAGTTAAATATGTGATGCCAAACCCTTTCAATTGGTTATATCTTAATACTCCAATCAAGAGCTAAATAGAGCGCTCTTAGTTTGTGTAATACTGAAATCTACCTCCATAGTTATCAATGACTGAATTTGAGAAAGTCGAAATAATGTAAAAATTCTGGACACAACCCTAAAATCCTATTTTTAAGGTAGCTTATTTTTAAATTTTGTCCAATTATAAAATTTTGAGTTGGAATTACAAGTGGATAACATATTGATTCTAAGACTTTTAAAAGTTTTGATGTCAATACTACAGTTTATATCATTTTACACTTGAAAAAGCCAATTTAATGGAGGATTGGTGGCTTACACTTTGGGGGGGGGGTATTTTGGGATTGGCCTATATCCAAAAATTTATGGTAGAATTTAACATATTCTATTTGTCGTTGAATCACAGGGTATCCACGCAAACTATGACGATAAGTTTTTTTTTTAAATATTGGAGATGTTTGGAAACAGCAAAATACCCCTTAATTATCATGAATTACTGTTTTTTGTTGTCCTTGCAGCTATTGAGGTTGAATTTTAGCAAGGTATTAAGGGTTGTCATTAAGGGTGGGGAAAGATCAGTTCACTTAGCCATTTTTAGCGGCAAGAACCCTCTTTCTCCAATGTCAATATGATTCTTAACAAAATATTTAACAGCATGCCAGTCCCTACCATCTAATGCACCATTTGCTTTTAAAATACAGTTCTTACAGTCCAATTTTCCCGTAAAGCGTCTTTCTCTGACAAATGAACTAGGGTGCTTAAAAAACTGCCTCCTTCTCTTCTTCTGTACATAAAACATGGGCATCTTACTCTGTAAAGAAAATCAAAATAAGCATAACAAGTAAGCTTTCAGCTAAAACTTACTCCTCTTATAATTATAACATTTTCTCTACTTACTCTTTGACTTTGACATTCCCCGGTCCACATTTTCCATGTCCATGTGACTGCTGCGTTTTTTCGGGGGGGGGGGGGAGGTTTAATTTCTTTGCAAGTAGTCCCCGTAAACTAACTGTGTATTAGCATGTCGCCACAAGAATGGAAAGTAGTCCCCATAAGTAGTTGTGTTTAGCATGTCACCATAAGTACGGCAAGTAGTCCACATTAGTAGCTATGTAGAGCTTTTTCCTTTAAAGTGCCTATGACACGAAATTTTGAAATTTTTATTTTGCATTTTCTGGTTGATAGCTGTATTTAAAATTAGAGATCATTAACCATAGCGCTTAGCGAGTTCTCCTTGACCAATTTTTTTGTCCATTGGAAGTACGATTTGGCGGCCAAAAAGTGTCGCCACTAAGCGAGCGGCCAAAATCATGTTATATAGCTGTGACGTAGAAAACTGTGAAGACGCGTAAGCAATTATGGTGGAGAAAGGAGAAATATAATAGAGAGGACGAACATAGTGCGTGGCTGGAGCGCCAAATGATGTTCGCTACAAGAATAATACACATAAACCGGGCAATTATATACACGACTTTCCAAATGATGTAGCTGTATGGCCAAAATGGACGCTTTCGATCGTCGACATCGAGGAGATTCTACTCTTTAATGTCGTCGGCCTTATTCTCCGTACCGGCTTCGAAGACGCCTGTTGCGAACACATACCACAAATCAGGGTAAGATAACCGATGAATTCAGCTAAAACAAATGCTGATTAAGGGCCCTGTTTCCACACTATACACGATTGTTCAACATTCTTTCCGGCTGACATTTCGCAAATGAAAAATGGTGAGCTCCTTTTTGATGTTTATTTCACGCGCTTGAGATGTACTCACACTTTTTGTCTTTCCACATGACTATGTTTGCGCTTTTCTTATCGTATGAATATCATACCAACTGTAGTTCCATCGTATTTTGATAAAAGATTTACATCAATTGTAATGAAGTTCAAGCCCTTTCCTGAGCTGACCGATATCCTGTTGCGTGAACAGTGTGCAACCTCTGACGGATAATGGCATAAAAACAAGCTTAAAGGGGCCGTGTATTCTCCTAACCTAGGTTTCCGAAAATCCATCTCACGAGCTATCAATTCCCCCTACCTTCAAGAAACCAAAAGTAGCAATATTAGCAATTTCATTGGGATAACAGCACCGCAACGATATAAATAAATTTTAAATTAGATGGTAACGATGCCGTATGAAATATTCATTAATAATACTGATGTCAGTTATTTCCTTTGTGCGGAATGGGTCATATGGCAATGCTGTACTTAAACTAAATAAGGTTTTTTTCTATTAAAATGCCTATATGAGATTAACTTGAATCAAATGACTAGAAACTCACTCGTTTTCCTTTCGGTTTGACCGGCTCGACGACCGTGACCATGGCCTCTGCCTTTGCAATCTATGGGAGAAGGAGCAACTTGCAGTAGAACTGCTCGATTACTCCTCGGTGGAAAATCATCGTGCCTAGTGATACAACTGATTCTTTCTCAAAAGTTAGCTTTTGGTTTACCGAGAGAATTTCTCTACAGCAACGAAACACTAGAGCACTGACCGAGAGGAACCTAATAATATTGGTCATGAAACAGATGTAAAACAGTCGTTGCCGCATTTAAAAAATTTGCCTCTGCTTCACGCCCGTGACAAAAAGAATGACATGTTTCTTTATACATGGAGATCATATTATTGATTTCTTTTCACAGCATGGATTGGCGCCATGGCCATGGGTTCTAATTTTTTTTTTGGTCTTATATCAAGTGCATTGTGTGATCGTCTTGGATGCCGTGTTGTGTCCTTTGCTGGTGCGTCACTATCCGTCTCAGGGTTGTTCCTAACCTCCTTCATACAAGAAGCTCATAAAATGTATGTGACCTACGGACTTGTATGGGGAGTGGGTTCTAGTTTCTCCTATGTGTCGTCTATCGTTGTCCTGGGTGAATACTTTAATAGAAGGCGGCTTGCCAATGGGATTGCATCATTGGAGGTGGCGTAGGCTCTCTTGTTACCGGGCCGGTCATAAATTACCTACTGGCATCTGTCGGATGGAAACACTCACTAACAATGCTATTGCAACAGAAACGAACAGAGCTATCCACAAAACACAAGCGCAGCAAACTAGACATCCAGTAACGGGAATTTTTGTTCTAATCTTGACCTAAACAATGCAAGCGGGAAACCGCCTTTGTCAGTCTTCGTATAAATCTTCGTTTGATGCAGCGCGGTTCTCCTTCTTAGGGCTGAACCGTACTCGCAACTTTCATTTCTTCTTTATAACTTGAGTACGATGTATTACAACTCTCGGTAGAGCTTACTTAAGGTAGGTAGACATCGCTATCGGTCGTTATTTCAAAATTATTTCAGCGCTGACTTATACAAAATTGCAAGAGATGTGAAAGGTATTTTGGTGTAGACTGAGAGTTTTCACAGTTTTCTACGTCATCAGCCGCTAATTCGTTACCAGTCCACGGAACACTTTTAAGACAAAAGCACTTTAGGGCCCGAAAAAAACCGAGTTTTAAGTCTGGGACTATTCTTCAATCGGAATTGGTTTGTACATATGATAAGCTAAATATTTACGCAAAAAAATTCGTGTCATAAGCTCTTTAAGAATGGCAAGTAATTCCCATAACTAGTTGTTTTAGAATGTCCCCATAAGTAAGGCTGGTAGTCCCCATAAGTAATTGTTTTAGCATGCATATCCCCTCATGCACGGGAATCTACGAACGCGTGGCCGCCACTTTGAAAAAGTGACCGATGTACCCTGGGACGAGGTTGGCAGCTAAGCATGAAACGGTCTAGGATCACTTCCTAGTGTAGTTCAACTTGGTAAGTGACCGATCTTTCCTCTCTCTTTTTAACATAGTTAGCGCCTTAAACGTGTTTGTGAAGAACAAAAAAAAATGTGTAGTTTATGGCTCTCAAGAACAATATAGACAGAAGAACAAGAGAAATTAGTTATGAAATTGAAACCACCTACAATCTTGTACTCACCATTTCAGTCATTTTCCGCCAGTGTTTTCCTTGTGAACTTTCTTGTTTCACCTTGACCGACTGTAAGAAGAAGCTTGCTCACTTTGGAAATTTCAACTGCTGATTCGTGAAGACAGTAGAAGTCTCCATGCACTTGGATTTCATGACCAAGGTGTCTTGCTTAGTCGGTATACCTCTGTTCCTTTGAGAGAGACTACTTGGGAAATGGTTGCCATATACTTTCTGAGTTTGGTACTGGCTATCTCTGTAAGGTTTGACAGAGGTGGGCCGCCTTCCATAGCAAATTTGACTGTCTATTTGACCTAGCAACTATTAAATGGATTTTCATCTGGAATACCCACGGCTTTCCTTGTCTTGTTGAGGAGGTCGATGCTGTTTTTCACCTCAGGTGTCAAAATTACTGTTACAGTCCTGCCCCACTTACTACGAATCTCAACTATGTCTGATCTGTTTTAAAAAATATGATAATTAAAACATAAATTACGTTTACTCAAACAATATTTTACAAACTCAAATTATAGAAATTCCCCAAGGTATTAAAATATAAAAAATGAAACAGAAATATTTTCTTTTAATGGCCCAAAAAAGGCATTATTAGCATCAGAAAAACACGTCATTATGCTGAACATTTTGAAGACTTCATAAAATGTTCTCACTGTCTTTGCTGTAATTGTGATATCATGACATCAGGATGTGCAATGTGTTACCCAGTCAGGGTTGATGAAAATACCAAGGAGAAGGGGGCAAGGCTAAAAAGAATGACTTTCCGGATTTAATTTAGAAATTAGAAAGCTAAAATAGGTAAAAAAAAATAAAGAACCAAAAAAAAAGGAAAAACCAAAAAAGTATCGATGCAACAGCATGAGACTCTTTAATATTATAGTACATTTTTGCAATCATAATATTATCATTCCACAGATTTAGCCACCAGTTAGATCTACCCTTCCTGGTTTCATTGTTGTTGTCAGGCAATGTTTTTGGTCAGTCAGTTTGAGTGTCTTAAAGAAGCTCAATTCCAGAATTTTCTTGACATTTTCCTTGATAACTGGAGACTTTGTTGAAGTAAGAGATGAAAATACGACTTAAATAAGATTTGGATTAAGATAGGGCAAGCATGCTATGTTATAAGCATGTTTAAAAGTATTATTATCATAATAATCATTATTACCTGACACAGAATGAAGGAATTTTTCAGGTGCATTGCTCTGTGATGCATTATTCCACCGTTGTAAGAAGAAGGAACTGGAGATGTAGATTTCTTTCCCCTTTGAATTCAAGAGGAAAAATAGTGAGTTATGCTCAAAGTCTTGTTTATGGCAAGACTGGAACAAATAAAAAAAAGGTTAATTACCATAATTTGAAACTTCTAAGTTAGGAAAGCATTATAAATATATATGCCCCAGAGGGAAAAAAAAGAAGTTGATGAGAGATTCCTTGTTCAAAGGCCAATAAGCATTAACCCAGGGTCAAATTTTTATCCAAGCTTCTTTATTCCTTCTTTCAAAAGCCTTTTTTGGATAATCTTCTCTTTTCTTTTCATAGCATCCAATTTTTAAATTGGAGACAAAAAGAATTGTATTGAATTTTCATTTAAAGCTTTCAGATCTGGAACCAGATTTCACACTAAGCCTGGATTATCTAAACCTACCTTTGAACAACTCAACCAGAAAAAGGATTCGGAAACCCCCCCTTACAGAAATTCTTTGCAATAAGGGAGCATGATCAGTTCAGTATACAAAAGTGTAAGTAAGTGAGAGTAGAACATGACCTGTCTGTGGAAATTTGACTGAAGCAGTTATACAAAATGGGCAACGTTGGTTGAGCAAGGACAACTACTGTGGAACTGAATGGCCAGATTAAGAGATGATCATATTGTTCAAGATACGGGCCAGAAAAAAATCACTCCAAATTAAAACAATCCAACCAGTCAATAAAATAAATCTGAGTAGTTTAAGATTGATCACTAATTGTGTTATTGTACTAGTTAGATGTTTCTTTCCAGTTTGTATCTCCCTTACAATGCCATTTCGTAAAATGATACTCTCTGATAGACCTGTGTGGCAAGTGGTCGCTTATTTCAGCATAACAAGTTCCTTTTCCTTCAAAATATGTCAGGTAATTGCTTTATATGTGGCTATCAATATAAATTTAGTGACTACCTTTAAATTAAGCCAAATTGAAAGGCAGAGATTCTAATTATTTGATTGCTTTGTAATTCGCTTCATCGTTTACCCAGCATTCCCTATCACACAACCCAAGTTTCCACTCGTGACATTGCTGCAAGGAGTCTGCAGATATTTAGTTATTCTGATTCATGGAGGAAACATCCTTAGTTGTTATGATATTTATCTGGAATTGTTCATCAACATCAGCCATGTTGTTGCTCTCATTCATATTTTGTTCTTTGTTGCGTTGCACCTTACTCTCAACTTTGCTATCTTTTACTGGCATCTTACCTTCATTAACTACATGGTTAAGAAAAAAAAGGGAATGTAACAGTTTTTTTTTTGTTTTGTTTTGTGATAATCATTATTTCTTAGTAGAGCCAAACTTCATTTAATAACTTTAACTCTTCTATTTCAAAACCACCATCTTTTGACGCATTAGTTACGGGGAGTTTTGTCTGAGAATGTCTTTCGAAGCTATTCAAACCGTTTCTTTTAGTCACTTTGAGGGTCTGAAGAGCGAAAACTGTCCAAAACACCATTTATAGATACTGTTCTTTCAGATGCAAATCATAAGCTTCCGCAGTTTGGTTATGCACAAAAAGCAGTCTTACACCTTTCGCTTTTACTCCTCCCCTTTTCTTGCACTTTTCTTACACCACTGTTTTACTTTTTTTTAGCCGTGGTAGTAATAGTTCATTGTTTTTATGATTTTTAAGGCTTTTGTTTGGTTGCAACTTACCTTTGACGTTGGAAGAGAATGTATAATGATATTTATGAAGACATTTGAAATGGCAAAAGCCACTTACAAAAAAACTCAGTGGGGATTTAATATTGGAAAACTATTTCTGTAACATCAAAAAAATCTTTCATTTTCCAAAGAGCCCTAAGAATTGATGGGCTCAGAGTGTAAGGGACATCTGCAGTTTATATAATAGAGGGTGTGTGTATGTACATACCAGTTTCCAAGGAGTCTGTAAATAGACAGTCATTGATCTGATTCAGGGAGTAAATCTCTTCAGAATTTGTTGTTACATCTATGTGGAAACTTTCATCATTGTCAGGACTGCTGTTTCCCTTGTTCATATTTTCTTCTTTTTTTGTGTTGCACCTTACTGTCCCATTCTTTAGTCCATCTGCCTTGCTCTCATTACCTAAGTGGTTAAGAAAAAAGAAATGTGTAGAGTTTTGCTAATTTGTGTGAAACCAGGAATGAATGATTGGAGCCATCATCATAATCATTGTCGTCATCATTTGAAGTATTATTAAAAAAAAAATAACTTTTAGATTGTTTTGACCAAGGACGGTATGAGTTGTCATGATATCTAGACAGATTGTATGGTATTTGCAATATTCATGTTAAGAGAGATTAATATACGTAATCATAACAGGACTGAAACGGTTTGCATTTGAGTAAATCTAATTCTGGAATTGAGAATTAAATGTTATATTTTTTTATCCTAAGGGCTATGAATGTTCCCCTAAAAAAAAACAAAACAAAACAAAACAAAAAAAGAAAAAAAAAAAACGAAATTATCTTTAGAAGAGATGGGGCAAACACCCTGATAGCTCATGGGGTCCATTACACTGAAACACAAGCAAAGAAAAGAGTTGCTGCAGTTCTGTTAAGTATGACACAAGTCTCCCAAAACAAGTTATTAATGGTTAGGTTGCAATACCTTTTTAGCTTTCGCCAGGGAAGATCTCTAACTTCATGGTCACAGTGTAGACCTTCACCGTTCCGAAGTCCACAAAGGGCAAGGCACACTTTGTCTTCACCGTTAATCTTTCTCATTTGCTTTATTTAATGGATTATCGTTTTTTAGTCTTCCAAGTCCAGCAGAGAATGTTGCATCAAGGCTAGAAAATCCACAAAAATCAAAGTTATAATTGGAAAAGAGCAGTCTCAATTTGTTCCTTGTAAAAGTGTAGTGTAAGGTTTGATGACTTAGTTTCAGTTCTTCCTTCGGTTGTGTGGCGCAGACCAAGCCCATCTAAAATTACACAACTACTTTATTTACAATGAAACTTAAATGCAACTCATGATAAAGCCAAAAAAGTGCAAAAAGAGTACCATATATGTTGATGGTAATTTTATTTCATTTGGAGTAAATGATGACAAATCATGAAGCACATTACACACAAAATAGTATGTATTTCAGTATTAGTGATTAACAATCTCATGAAGCCTATTTGAATTCATTCAGGTCGATTTGTGTACAGTAGTCTTAGGACAGCCTCCCCCACTACCTTAAAATATTTTTTGTTTAACTTAGCGCTTACGGTTAGTGACGTTTTACTGTATTATAATTAAAATAACTTACCGTAAACACTTGAATCCATCCTTAAAAAAGAAGAGAAAGCTTCTTAGTTCTTCCACATGCAAATCTTCTCTTTGATAACCTTCATCCTCTGAGACAAGTTCCCCTTTATATTGAAGAGGGAGATCACCCTTTGAAAACTTCTCTGTTGGAACACACCTCACCCTTAAAACAAAATTATACCAAATCCGTTGATCATTTTGCTTCCCTTTTTGTGGCTACTTCCTCCTGTGGGAGGCAAAGCCATATATATTATCGAAATGAGTAAGTAGCTGTAAATGAGTTAATCACTCTTAGCCTTAACCCCTTAACTCCCAAGATCTGATTGGTAATTCTCCCTTCTAGCTGCTACACATATCCTTGCAAATCAGTTGTGAGAATTTGGTGTTAGATCAGGACAACAACTTCTACCTGATAAGTTTGAATATTCTCATGAGCTGTTTGCAAGATAATATAAGGACATTGTCGGGAGAAATTTCATGTTGATCACTTCTGGGAGTTAAAGGGTTAGAGATAGAACAGTTAGGTTCTCCAGCTAGCCCCTATAAAGCTGACCCTCTTCGTCCATTTAACCATTCTAATAATATTGTTTTTGGTATTGTTCTCTTTTGTTTTACTCTATCTGTGTCACATCATATTACCTTTGGCTTCGATTTTAGTCGAACAGTTTTTCCCCTATTTTTACACAATAAGATGTACGAGGAAGTTTAGCATAAAATAGAGTCTGAAAGGGATTGTAGTCTAATGATCTTGGACTAAGAGGAAGAAGGAGTTTTGTTGCAGTTCCATGTCACCTATATGCGGGGTTTTGTTGCAGCTGTAAATATGTACATTGAATTGCCTTCAGTTGGGGATCTGAGAAAACAGTCTGACAAAACCGATGTACCTCCCTCGGTCATTCTTTGTTGTAAAGGACTGCTACCAAATAAATAAACAAACTGATAAAAATACATAACCACAAAATTTTTAAGATCAATAAATTTACACCATTTTTTAAGCTGTGGAGTATTCCGAAGGACGCATTCTTTTGATTTCTTAAATGTGAAAAGTCCGCCCTTTTCCTCCAAAAATCCCCCAAAAACGGGCTTACGCCAACTTTAAAATCATATATGGAAATGTTGCAACAGTTTCATGAATCTTTCCAGTAGTGACAAAATCTCTACTGTGATCCGCATGATTCTGACCTTCCCTTAGCAAATAGCAGCAGACGTTTCTTTCTCGCGGGCCGGGCAAAAGACAACAAACGCCCTATTCACGTACATTTTGTAAATTTTTCCAATTAAAAAAAAAAAAAAAAAGCAAACATTTGTCCAATGAATTTACCGTTCCTTTGCTTTTCCTAAAAGATGGCAAGTTGTTTGAGCCCTTTTTTCACTCGAACACAACAGACAAATTTTTAAAATAAACTTCAGTGTTCTACAAAGCTGCACTTCATCGCATAAATTCATAATCATAGTAAAAGGTGATAAGATAACGCGGGTAATTTTATTTTTAGATTATGAGGGGACTCTGTGAATTACTATGGCGCTATATCCACAAAAAGATTACCCCAATTGGCGCCCGTTTTCCAGCAAGGCTTCATTAACTTAATTCACAAATAAATCACATCAAAGGAACGTTTTACTTACGCCGTCTTGAGAAATTTTGCGTCCTTGGGCCGATTTGTACAGATCAATTTTTGGCCCCTCATTAATTTCCCGCCAATTTATTCCCTGTCAAATTTCTTGGTCACTTTCCCCCACACAATTCCATCGAAATGCTCTCGCTCTCCTTAGCAAAGTTTTAACCCTTAAATTTATATTTGGTAAACATTGTGATCATCGTATTTACACTTTTCGCCAAGTGATCAGTGATTAAGAACGGGGACCTTCTCAAATAGATAAATCCGTCTTTTCGTCTCAATTTTACCCAAATTTCTTACTCGACCAACTAAGTAACTTTCTGTACGGCAAATTCTGTTAAATTAAGTTCATTATTTAAAAGAAAAGAATTCGATAGCTTCAAATTTATCCTATAATTTCATCATGACAATAACAACAACGAACAACCAGTAACAGCATGACAAACGATTTTGTGTACAGACCGTGTGGGAACCTTAGGTCGCTATCATCGCAAAAAATTATCTTGAGGGCCATATTGCAGCACAGAGAATATTAGCAACTAAAGACCGCGCAAACATGTTATGAACTCATACTAAATAATATGGCCATTCCCGCACAAGAAAAAAAAAAATTTTTTTTTTTTTTTTACAAATCCCCGAATTTGAAGTAGATTTTCAGCTAAAACCAACATGGTAAATTATTTTTAAAATAAGTTCTGATAAATAACGTCCAGGTTTCTCCATTAAAAGGCTCGATATGCAGTTGTACTTCATCACATAAATTAATCAGCACAGTAATAGATTACAGGATTGCGCGGGAAATTTTGTTTGCAGAGCACATGGAGACTCTTACTATGGCGCTGTATCTCTACGAAAAAAGTTACCCCTTGTATTTGATTAGCACCAGTTTCCAGCAAGATTTCATCGCCTAAATTCATACGTAAATCCTATTAATGAAACAATTTAACTTACGCCGTCTTGAGCAATTTTGTGTTCTTGAGCCACTTTGCACTGTTTTATTTTTTTTTTTTTGTGTGTTATTAATTATTACCCGCCAATTTTTAATGTCGAATCTGTTGTTGTCTTTCTGCCACACAATTTCATGGAACTTTCTTCGCTCCCCTCAGCGAAGTTTTACCTCTCAAGTCCATGGTTTGGAAACATCGTCAAGTCTATTTGGTCATACTATTTTCGCAATTAATTAAATATTTTGCCATGGATATAACCCACCATGTGGGGACCTCTAAATGACGAGAAAACACATCCGTGCATTTTAATTATCATTTCACCCGATTTTATGAGTCGACATAGCCTCTTCCAATAGACATCTTACCAAAAGAAACAATAAATTGTTCTCATTAAGCTTCTGCCCTTTTCTATCGTTAAACTGCTCACGCCTTATGTACAGACTCGTCACAATCATGCACCAGATTTTATGGGGACCTTCGCAAGGAAAAAAGGTGCCCTCTCTTCGCAATTTATCTGAATTTCTAAATCGACTGATCGAAACGAGCGACTAGATTAAATCCTTTAGACTAAGTTCAATTTTTCCGTTGAAAAGGCTCGGTACTTTCACTTCAACACATAAATTAATCATGATAATCGCAGCAATCAGTAACACTGCACGACTGAGAATTTTGTCTTTGGACAATGTGAGGACCATGTTAAAATTTGGTCCGATGTCACCCAACAGAACAGAACAGAAAAGTGAAAGGTGAAGAACATAACGATGACTTATAGCTTACCTTTAAAATAGTTACATTTTGGCTCCGCTTATACTCCAGATGCAACTGAAGTCTCATGGAACTTGCTATGCTTATCATACTGGCAGTTGGGCTTATGTTTCATTAACAGATCAGTAAAAAATGCAAAACATTTGGATTTATCGCAACACTTAGAAGTAGAGATAACGCACGTCACGAAAAAACATTTTCACTCGGTTCTTTAGACAAAAATAGTCTTTTCATCTTTCTTATCCTTTGACAAATTTCGATCACCTTTGGTCCCCTAAATTGTTCGTTGCCCCAAGACCGGAGCAATGGGAACTACAAAAAAAATAAATTTATGCCGTCTAATGTTTCCTATCTTGAACAGATTCACTCACCACTCCGTGGGTCCCCTTAATTAGGGTTTTTGTTTTTCGATACATTACACTGAAGTCAAAACGTTAACAACTTGTATCCCTCTGCTACCCACCAGTAAACGTTTACTCATTGCACTGACTTAGTAGACAGCATAAGCAGCCTTTGCCCACCGAGCATTTTGTTTATTATTTCACCCGATATAGCCTCTTCCAATAAATATCTGACCCAAAGAAACATTAAGTTGTTCTCATTAAGTTTCTGTCCTATCACCAAACTGCTCATGCCTCATGTGCAGACATTTTGTTATCATGTAGTGAAAAATTATGGGGACCGTCGCAAGAAAAAAAGAAAGCCGCTTTCTCTTCGCAATTTTATCCTAATTTCTTAGTCAACCGTTCAATTCGAAACGACCAGCTAAATAAATTCCCTCAAACTAGGTTCAATTCTTCCCGTGGAAAAGACATGGTGCTTTCATTTCATCACATAAATTGATCATGATAATCACAGCAATCAGTTACACTGCACGACTAAAATATTGTCTTCAGACAATGTGGGGACCAAGTTAAAATTTGCTCCGTTGTTCACCAAAGATTATCCGGTAGGGACAATGTAGAACAGAAAAATAAAAGTTAAGAACATAGCGACTTATAGCTTACCTTAAAATAGTTTCTTATCCATTGACAAATTTCGATCACCTTAGGTCCTCTTAATTGTTCATTGCCCCAGGACCGGAGAAATGGGGACTATACAAATAAACAAGTTAAAAGATCAGTAAAAAATGAAAAAAATTTGGATTTGTCACAATACTTAAAAGTAGAGATAACGCACGTCACGAAAAAACATTTTTCACTCGGTTCTTTAGACAAAAAAAAATAGTCTTTTCATCTTTCTTACCCGTGGACGCATTTCGATCACCTTTGGTCCCCTTAATTGCTCATTGCTCCAGGATCAGAGAAATGGGGACTACACAAAAAATAAATTTGTGCCGTTTAATGTTTCTTATCTTTAACAGGTTCCCCTTAATTAGGTTTTGTTGTTTCGGTACATAACACTAACGTCAAAAAGTTAACAGCTTCCATCCCTCCTGCTTACCGCCAGTAAACGTTGACTCATTGCACCGACTTAGTTTATAGGAGAAAAAGCAGCCTTTAACCATCGTACTTCTGTTACAGAATTGTGCGGGAAATTTCGTTTGCAGAGCACGTGTGGACTTATTAACTATGGCGCTATATTTTCACAATAACTTTACCCCGTGTATTTGATGAGCACCCGCTTCTAGCAAGATCTTATCTCCTAAATTCATACATATATTCCATCAACGTAGCATGTTAACTTACGCCGTCTTGAGCATTTGTTTTTGGGGCCAGTCTGTACTGTGTTTTATTTTTTGCGTGTGTATTTAATAATTTACCGCCAATTTTTATTTCCTGTTGAATCCGTTGCTTTTTTTGTGCGTCAGGATTCCATCGAAATGATATCGCTCTCCTTAGCAAAGCTCCACCTAACAAGCCCATTATTTGGTCAAAATTTTGAAAATGACAATTACATTTGCGCTAGAAATTTTACCTAAGTCATAATCCACCATGTGGGGACCCTAAAAATGACGAGAAAACACATCCGTGCATTTTGATGATTATTTCACCCGATATAGCCCTTTCAAGAGATATCTTACCAAAGGAAAATACGTTGTTCTCATTAAGTTTCTCGTCTTTTCTATCACAAAAATGCTCATGCCATATGTGCAGACATATCGTTATCTTGCAGTAAAAATTATGGGGACCGTCGCAAGCAAAAAAGAAAGCCGCTTTCCCTTTGAAATTTTACCTGAATTTCTTAGTTATTTGTTCAAAACGAGCAACGAGATTAATTTCCTTAGACTAAGTTCAATTTTTCTTTTCAAAAAATCCTTTGGGGCTTTCATTTCATCACATAAATTGATCATGATAATTTGGCTGATGCGCCATCAACAGATCAGTAGGAAAATGCAAAACAATCAGGATTTGCCAAAACACTTAAAAGTAGAGATAGCGTGCGTCACGAAAAAACATTGTCAATCTTTTTTATCCTTTGAAAGTTTCGATTACCCTGAGTCCCTTAGTTGTTCATTGCACCTGGACCGGAGTAACGGGACTATACAAATAAATAAGTTTATACCCTGTAATCTTACATATCTTTAAATTTATTCCAATTTTCACCAAAGACTATGCGGCAGGGCAACAAAGAAGCTTACTGACCTATAGCTTACCTTTAAAGTAATTACATTTCGACTACGCTTATACCCTAGAAGCGCCTGATTTAACTTAATTCTCGAGGAACTTGCGATGTTTATCACACTAGTATTGAGCTAATGGGTCTTGGACAAATCAATAATAAAATGCAGAAAAAATCGGAATCTCCCAAAACACTTAGAGGTGGAGATAACGCGCGTCACCAAAAACATTTTTCATTGTTCTTATGCATTGATAAATTTTAATCACCTTAGGTCCCCTTAACTGTTCATTGCCATAGGACCGGAGAAGTGGGAACTATACAAAAGAATAAGTTTTACCCTTTAATCTTCCTTATCTTTAAAATTCAGTCCGATGTTCACCAAAGATTACACGGCAGGGCAATGCAGAGCAAAGAAGCCACCCTAGAACCTCCTGATTTAACGGAGGTCTCAAAGAACTTTGCTATGCTTATCCTACCAGAAGTTGAGCTTATACGTCATTAACAGATCAGTCAAAAAAATGCGAATCATCTGGATTTCTCACAACACTTAAAAGTGTAGATAACGTACGTCAAGAAAAAACATTTTTCAGTCGGTTCTTTGGGCAAAAAAATAGTCTTTTCATCTTTCGTTTCCGTTGAAAAATTTCGATCACTTTGGTCCCCTTAATTGCCCATTGCCCCAGGACCGGAGAAATGAGGACCATACAAAAAATAAGTTTATGCCGTTTAATGTTTCTTATCTTTAACAGGTACTCTCGCCATTCCGTTGGTCCCCTTAATTAGGTTTTGTTTTCTGATACACTGACGTCAAAAAGTTAACAGCTCACAACCCTTCTGCTACCCGCCAGACATCGTTGACTCATTCCACTGACCTAGTTAATAACAGTATAAGCAGCCTTTGACCACCGCAGTTTTGTTACTTCCTACAAAGAGTGGTTTAGTGAAAAAATACAATTCCTTGCGTACTCATACCGAGTGACAAAACAAATTGATCCCTACATTTTGATCACCCATTCACAAGAAATATTCAGACAAATGTTACGATTCACAAGCTGAAATTGGACCTGAATGAAGTTCTAAGTAGGTTAAATGACGAATTCATCGCCATGTCGCAGACAAGAAGTAGTCCTTTGGTCGTTCATTGCTATCACCTTTGGTCTGCTTAATTTGTCAATGCTCCAAGACCGGAGCAATGAGGTCTATAAAAGAAATAAGTCTATACCCTGTGGTCTTTCTTATCTTTGGCAGTTAACTTACCGTTTCAATTAGTTTCTTCTCCATTGAATATATTTTAATGGCAGAACATTATTGGATGACCCAGCCACAACGTGAGCACATTTACCGACAGGACAAACTACTAAGGAAAACAAGACAAAATAAATGTGATTTGTTACTTTGGAAACTAGGAGAACGCGTCAAGCAAAGTGCGGTATCTCATCGGGGAGGATCACAGACTGGGCCAGCTATAGAGCGGCGGAAATCAAGCCTATCTGGCCTTAAGCGAAGTAATAATATGAACGATGACGGAGCGCAAAAGTCGTCTGCTACTTACGGCGGTTCGAAAAGATAAATTAGTACAGCAGCTTAAGATACAGAACATAAATCGGATGTTGTGTCCCCCCCCCCCCCTTTTTTCACCGGCGTGCTAGACTCCGGTTCTACCTAGTGCCATATGGTGAGCTCCCTAAAAACATGACCGCATTCTCTCAGGCACCAATAAAAATTCAGTTTTTTACCATTGCGACCGCGTTAATAATACCGGCTTGTTATTATGTCCAACGACCAACTTTAGAGATTCTCCCAGAGTTTTCTCAAGCCATTCCAAGGATTGGTTCAAGTGCGAAGTTTTTTTCCATTACACAGAACAAAACCCATTTGATATGAAAGCGTTACCTTTTTCAAAACCATAGTTTGGTAAACTCCTATATACTTATGTACTTGTCTCCCCAAAGAATGATTTAAGAGTGAATTAAACTTTTTTGTATCATTTTCACATTGCTTGTTGTTCGTCTGATCTGTCGTGGACCTGTTCATTCCTTCAGTTAGCATCTTGCCTGAACCTTGCATGGTTGCTCGCCTTGACGTCAGTAATCCAGTGAACAACTATTTACTGCTTCTTTTGAACGAAAAAATTCTGGACTCCAGCTCATCAATGCTTCTTATGGTGTCAAACTACTGACATGCCAATTGAGGCCACGTCCACTTTATCACCTTTCTCTGAAGACCAAAAACAAACAAGTACCCTTGGAAGGCCACTATATCTAAAGCTCGTTGGATCCTGTCGTATAAATTGCTTAAACTACAAGAGTGCTGAGCATGCATAGAATTTATACAGATATTTTCTTCCCCCAACGTCCAACGAGCTAACTTACCGGGTAGTCCCAGTTGCTTTTTGCGACAGAAAATGGGTCAAGCGCCTGCTGTATAGCTCCGGTTGGCAAGGCATGATAGTGATATAAGAAACAAATAATTTATTTTGAAAGTCCTAGCCCTTCTTCCGTAAAGTAATACCTTGGGAAATCAGGCGATCCTCTGACATAGTCCACTTAACGCTTAACTTCCGCGTACCTCGAAACAGTCACCCGAGACCTTATGGCGACGGCGACGTAAAGGGACTCAACGTCGAGGTTGTCAGTTGCCGTCGGCGTTCCTGCCAAAAGTTTACATTACGAAAAGATCTTGGAAACCGTGAGTTTCTTATTCCAGCAATTGTGAACCTTTGAAAGTTTACTGAGTGTCTTGCCGATTTCGTCCTTGCTAATATCTGCCATGCCAAAAGTAAGAGACACTATTCTCATGGCTTATGCCCGTAATTTGATCGATGATACAGAGTACTTGTTTCTAGATAACGTTAAGTTCTCCCAAAAATCCTTTTATTCTATATTGGAGCCACGAACGCTTCAATCTGGACATGATGACAGATAAAGAATGCAAGAACTTACTGAAGTATTGAACCCTCCAGGCCTGATTGTTTGCTATAACGACGTCAACATGGACACAACTGAGGCATTCTACATATTTCTCAGGCGCTTTGCCTGCCCGAGCAGGTAAGTGGAATTGATACCACGATTCGCGATACCTGAGCCTCAACTTTGAATGATTTCGCATACTGTGATGGATTCCATTTGCACTGACTGGATACATTTGCTGTTGGATTGGATCAGCCGTGGATAAGTCGCCCACCTTTGTAGACATTCACAGAAATTATCAGCGAGAAAGGAGCGGATGATGTACAACGGCCCTATGAAAGTACATTCAATGAAATTTAAGTCCATTGCTACACCCAACGGCCTTATTGCTACCCTCTATGGCCCGGTGGAGGATAAAAGGCACAACAGCGTAATGTTGGCTCGATCCAAAGTGTTGAACCAGCTTCAGGAGGAGGCACCTTATGCATTCATGGCGATCCAGCGTATCTTCTCCGACTTCACTTTCAGAGTCCATTTCACGGCGTTACTGACAGACCTTCCAAAAGCTTGGAACAAGTCAATGAGTGAAGTGAGATTTTTAATTGAATGGATCTTCGGTGATGTCGTAAAGTATTTTAAATTCTTGGACTTCAAGAGGAATCCAAAGTTATGCTCAAGCGCTGTGGGAAAAGTGTATATTTTATGTGCTCTTCTTCATAATTCTCGGGCATGTTTATGTGGTGCAATTACATTTAAGTTTTTCCAGTTCTTTCCCACAACTGTCCATGAGTACTTTCAAAAATTTCAAGCATGGTCCATAATAAATCAATTTTCCGAATAATTTTCAATCAGTCTTCAGTTTACTTTCAAATAAATTAATCTCCTTTAAACGATCATTACCATGTAAAAGCATTTTAAAAGTACTAAACTTTAAAATTATAAACAACTTTTAAAATTAAAAGATTATATCAAATGATCGCATAACTCATACAAATTATACAAACTGTTGATATTCTCTTCAGACAGCTGATATTCTCTTCCTGTTGTCTATCACATATACAGAAATACGCAAGGCATCTGAACCAGAAAGTCCAAGTTTCAAATAAATTTGCGGAACAATTTTATTTGTCAGCAAGTTTTTGTAACAAGAACATAAGCGCCTGGCTTTGCCGCTGCAGCAAAACCATGTTCATACGCTCTAGTTGTCGTAGCTGCTGTTGCTGCATTCTTGCGGTATTCGGTTGTTCCTCGAATCTTTCGTCATGTTTTTTTCCTAGATTCAACTTGTCCTCTGCCTCTCTTACCTCCTTCTCCATTTGCAGCTGTTGTTTCTTTAATGCCGCCTCCTCCAAGTCTTGGCACCAAGACAAGTCAATGGTTTAAGGCAACTAAAGAAAGCCTTGCCTTTCGAGATATATTTGCACATAATAAAATTCAGCCATGTAGTTTTTTGTTTTTTCCCTTGATGCCGTTGAGTACGCATTTGTGTCTGAGGGTGGCCGTGGAGACCAATCGGTGCACGAGAGTGTCTGTCGCATGTGAATCACATGAACGGCCAAAGGTGAGCCTATCCTACCCAGTTCTCAGGATCTTCGCCCAGGTTTTTGATGAATACTTTCAGTTGTTTGTAAAAGGCTTTCTCTGTCCACCCACGGATCTCTTTCCAGTGTCAGCCTACAACAGAGGAGCTATTTTCGGAGAATGGGACTTGTGCAGTTTGTGCAATTGAACCATCTGCATTCAATTTAAGTTGAACCAAATGTATTATGCATTTTTTCCGGTTGAATCATTTGAGCTAGTTTGACCATTTAAACTACTTCAACCAAATAAGATAGATTGTGCAATTTGTGCAGTTTAAATGTTTTTGTAAGTTTGAATATTTAACCAGTTGGACCAATTAAGCTAGATTGTGCAGTTTGTGCAGTTGAAGCACTTAAGCTAGTTAGACCTTTTGGACTACTTCAACCAAAAAAGATAGGTTGTGCAATTTGTACAGTTTAACTGCCTACGCTAGTTTGACTATTCACCCAGTCGAGCCTATTAAGATAGATTGTGCAATTGAACCTTTTAAACTAGTTCTGGAGTTTGTCCAGTTGAACAGTTTAAGCTAGTTTGACCATTTGAACTACTTCAACAAATTCAGGTGGCTTGTGCAATTTTTGAAGTTAAATGTCCTCGCTAGTTTGACTATGTAACCAGTTAAATCATTTGAGAAAACTTTAACAGTTTCTGCAGTTGAACTGGTTAAGCTAGTTATGAATTTTATACAGTTTAACTGTTTTCGCAAGTTTGACCATTTAAGCAGTTGGAGTTAAATTAAAGAAATTTCGAAAAGAAGTTCGAAAGAACTGCAGACGTTTACCAAACAGAGAGAGAAACACGACAGAAAACTCCGTCACTTGCTCAGTAAGGGGTCTCCTGCTAATTCAGGCTCATCTCTGAGAGATAAATGAGTCTTGAACCTTTCCTCCAAGGAGTTATCCGCGCTGGAACGGAGTGGTTTAGAGAAGGGTCTGAAGTTTGCTATTGCTCCTCGCAAAATACCGACTGCCGATATTGTCGCCGCTGTTGAGGAGAGTATCTCTCAACTCAACGACGATCGTAGGTATTTGGTAAGAGCAGAAGTAATTAGCATACTCACACGTGCTAAACCTCCTCCCAAAAACATTCAAAAGGATGTTTTCAATGCACTTATAGCTCTCAAAAAAAGGATCCGGACAGGCTCGTAATTGAGGACAAGGGTAACTGTGTTGTGGTTATGGACAAACAGCAATATCACGACAAAGCTTTGTCTCTGCTTAACGACAAGAGTACGTATGCTGTCTTTAACTCTGATCCTACCAGTAAAACTCAAAGAAAGTTAAACAAAATGTTGCTTGATTTGAAAAAAGCTGGTATAATTAGTGACTCTACGTACAAAATGTTATACAGTAGTGACGGCTTATGTCCACGTTTTCATGGCTTATCTAAAATTCATAAACCAGAATTCCTTTGAGACCCATTGTCTCTTTTGTTAATTCTCCGACTTATGCAATTTCTGGTTATCTTGCGAGAATTTTGTCGCCTGTTGTTGGGAATACTGATTACTCTGTCAAAAATCCCTGCGAATTTGCGGATTTCATAAGAGATAAAACTCTTAACGCTTGTGAAGAATTAGTATCTTTAGACGTTGTTTCGCTCTTCACCAAAATCCCAGTTGATCTTGCCGTCAAGGTTGCGGAGGAATGACTCAGAAGATGCTTCCCTGGGACAAAGAACTTCCTTGCCTGTGGAGGATATTAGTCATCTGCTGTCTTTTGCCTCAAAACCACGCAATTTACATATAACGGCGCCTACTATCAACAAGTTTTTGGTACAGCGATGGGTTCGCCCGTCTCTGCTGTCATCGCTAACATGGTAATGGAAGACGTGGAACAAAAGGCCTTAGCCACTTCACCGGTTAAACCCTTTTTTCTGGAAATGATATGTCGATGATGTTATTTCTGCGATATCTGGAAATGAAGCGGAGCGCCTCTTGTCGCATTTGAAATCAGTAGAGCCGTCGATCCCATTCACCCTTGAGCGTGAAAAGGATAGACATTTTCCCTTTCTTGATTTAAATGTGTTCAGAGTAATTTAGAGACAAGTCTTTACTGTAAACCTACCCACACCGACAAATACCTCGCTTTCGATTCTCATCACCCTGTTTGCCATAAAAAAGTCTGTAGCCAAAACTTTACTTAGGAGGGCTGACTGTCTATCATCTTCACTCGATTCGAAGGCTGAGGAGAGGAAATATGTTTCAATGTCCTAAAGGCAAATGGCCATACAAAAACTTTTCCCCGTAACTGCCAAAAATCAGTTACAAATAGTAACGCTCTTGATGCAAGGGAACCAGCGACTGGTTTTGCTTTTATTCCTTATATACAGGGTGTTACGGAACCCATCAAGAGAATTTTGAATAGCCACAACGTTAAAATTGCTCAAAAACCTTTTCAGACTTTGGGGCATATTTTCGCCAAACCTAAGGATCCTGTCACGAAAGAACAACGAACCGACGCCATTTATTCTATTCCTTGCAATGATTGTGTCAACGAATACATCGGACAGACCAAACGTCAGTTTGGTACACGATTAAAAGAGCACCAAAAAGCGGTTTTCCTTTGCAAAAAGGAAAATTCAGCTTTATCGGAGCATACATGCCTAACTAACCATACAATTGGGTGGGATAATTCTAAAATTATCACTACTAATCGGCGTTACCACCAGCGCCTTTGTTTGGAGGCTTGGCATATTAACTCCGCTCACGCTCCTTAAAATCGTGACGGTGACGGTTTGCTACCTGACGCCTATTTACACCTCGTCCGAAAAAAAAAAAGCGCTAATTAGTGATCATATAATAGGACCTCTTGTTGCAGCGTTTAGATCACCCCTGATGAAGGCACTAGACAGGAGTGTCGAAACGTTGGGTCTATGAATTGTAACTTTTTCGGTTACATTCATTAAATCTGCAAACCAGAGTAGCATCAAACTATGTCCAGTTGGAACAAATAGGCTAGATTGTGCAGTTTGTGCAGTAGATTCTATTAAGCCAGTTATGCATTTTGTCCAGTTGAAGCACTTAAGGTAGTCAGACCATTTTAGATAGATTGTGCAATTTTTGAAGTTAAACTATCCTCGCCAGTTTGACTATGTAACCAGTTGAATCATTTGAGGTGACTTAAGCAGTTTCCGCAGTTGAACTGATTCAGCTAGTTATGAATTTTGGCTGGTTAAACCATTTCAGCTAGTTACGCATTTTGTCATTTTCGCTAGTTTGACCATTTTGAACCACTTCAGCCAATTAAGATACATTGTGCAATTTGTGCAGTTCACCTCGAATGTCGAACAATTCGCCCCGGACAATTAGCCCCCAATTTCAATACAATTCACCCCCAATGTGAAAACACCCAAATTATTGTAGAAAATATAGCTTTTGTCACAAGGCAATCATTTCTTGAAAGAAAAAGAAAACTCGACTACTCGAGTCAACCGAAACCAAAATAATTTACTGATCGTCAATCGCGTGAGCGTAAGATGGTGATACGTGTTCAGTTCTTCGGCGAGAACGCGTTCGCCCTTATTATACCTATAAATTCGACCGTAGCTTTGTTTCATGTACGATGGGCACGAATGATTCGGTTGACTGACTCGGTGTTTTCACATTGGGGGTGAATTGTCTAAAAATTGGGGGCGAATTGTTTGAGGGGCGAATTGTTCGAGGGGCGAATTATTCCGATACCGTTTACCTCTTTCTGCTGGTTTGACTATTTTAACTAGTTATACCGATTAAGCAAGATCGTGCATTTGGTGCAGCTGAACCATTTAAGCCAGTTATGCATTTCCTCCGGTTGAACCATTTGAGCTAGTTTGACCATTTGAACTGAGGAGGGCATTGGGGCCCATTAGAAACCTTAAAACCGTAGAAAAAATCATCCAAAACCGAAAAAAAAACTCGATCAAAACCGAAAACGGCATGCAAAACTGTAAAAATCGATACACTTTCACATCCCAGTTATTAAAACCCTGATCGTTTCCATACAGTGATGACAAGTGTAGCGTACAGAGTAAACTACACTAATTTCATGACAGGATCCATGAATACCATGCACTTGGTATTCGTATTTTCTAGTATCTGCTTAAATTAACAGCTGCGCTCTCGAGGAACTCGAGCGTGGTCTCTGCGGACTCAGCAGCCGGTAATGGAGCCTAATTAAAGTAAGGAAATTTGCACAAAAGCCCTCCATAGGATTGCAATTTTGCAGTCGCAAAAAGCTATAACTCTGGAAAGTTTCATCAAAAATCCCTGATCTAACATTTCCATTCGCGAACTAAGACCTGAAAGTTTGGAGATTCCATTGGAATGTTGAATCAATCAGTCGCGTATGGCCTGTAACTTGGTCACAAACTTCGAGGTGGCATTGATAAAGAAACTTTGGAAATGATCCGTGCTTAGCCGTGCCCTACGTGCAGGCGCGTAGCCGTACCCTCCTTCTTTCCCCCCTACCTCAGGGAGGGGGAGGGTACAACTACACGTAGGCTACCTAGGGATCCCTGCGATATTTCAATTGGTTTGTCACTCATTCCTCTCGATAAAATTTGCGTTTAGCGGCTATTCGAGATTAGTGGAGGCGCGTAGTTGCCGCTCAGATCGAAGAGAAACCGGAACCCAAATAGGTCTAATTGGAAAAACCGAAAACTGCATCGGATATCAAAGCCGAAAACCAGTTAGTATTTTTTGCGAAAACCGAAAACCAAATGCTAAAAAAACGGAAAATCCGCAAACCGCAATGACCATCAAACCAAAAAAACGAAGTTTTTTGGCACAAAAACCGAAAAACCGATCTAAAACGTAGCCAAAACTGCAAAACCGAAAATCCTAAATCCCCCCTTTGAACTACTTTAGCTAATTAAGATAGAATGTGAAATTTGTGCAATTTAACTGTTTTCGTTAGTTTGACTATTTTAGGTATTTGAATCTAGATTGTGCAGCTTGTGCAGTTGAACCATTTAAGCTAATTGTACATTTTTTCAAGTTAAACCATTTAGCTAGTTTGACCATTTGAACTACTTTAAACAACTACGATATATTTTTCAATTGTTTTCAGTTTAACGGTCTTCGCTAGTTTGATTATTTAACCAGTTGAGCCAATTGCGCTGAACTGTAAACTCTTTTTATTACATGAACAACGATTCACTGAAATCAAATGCATAAATCCGCTGAATAAAGCAAAATAACCGAGTCACAAAGGATAAGAAAGCTAAACAAAAACGATCGAATAGTACAAGTTATTTGTGTCTTGTCCCACTAATAACAAATGAAATCTTGTTCGACAATCTTAGCAGAAACTAAAACTTAAACTCAAAACAGACTATGTGCTCTCGAAAACTTGATATCTTACTGTGACTGCAAAATAACCAGCGGTACACTGAAATATCTACTTGACTGTCCGCATTCGAATCAGGTCGCAGAAATGACATAACTACTTTCTAGGCAGAACCAATTCTGCTGGATCGTGCAGTTTGTGCAGGTTATGCAGTTGAACAATTTAAGCTAGTTTGATCAGTTGTACTACTTCAACCAATTAGTTATTCAACCAGTTAAGTTAGTTTGGTTATTTTAACTACTTTAACCAATTATGGTAGATTGTGGAGTTTGTGAGGTTGAACCTTATAAGATGCTTATGCATTTTTTTCAGTTTAAGCATTTAAGCTGGTTTGAGCATTTTAACTATTTCAACAGGTTAAGCTAGATTGTGCAATTTGTCAGTTTAACTGTTTTCGCTAGTTTGACTATTTAACCAGGTAAACCAATTGAGCTAGTTTAACTGTTTTAACTACCTGAACCAATTCAGCTAGATTGTGCAGTTGAACAATTGAAGCTAGTTTGATCACTTGAACTACTTTAACTAAGTAAGATAGGTTGTGCAATTTGTACAGTTCAACTATTTCGCTAGTTCGACTATTTAGTTGAACCAATGAACCATTGCGCGGATGTGATTAAATTTGGCTGCTTACCTGCTGTAAACTGTCCAGCTTTATAGACTTTGAGTTTTCTACCTGTTGAGATTTACCTGCGTCCCTATACAGTCATTTAAAGATAGGTGAACTTGTCAATTGCGTAGAGTTTTGTGCCAATTAAATGACTGTAAGGTTAGTTGTATTGCTTCTTAGAGCTGGTGGGTACGTACGGTGAATCAAAAGTTCTCACAGGTTGTGCCCAAAGAGTTCATGCCATGATGCATCTGTTCTTCACAGTTACTATCCAGTGCACAATCATTTGCAAAATTTAGATCACGGATGGTGGTAAGACTGACCTCAAGTGTTTCCTTAAGTCGTCTACGATTGTGAAGCATGTGATCAGTTCTATAACGAGTTTCTACGCCTGCATCACCTTGTGAGAATGCACCTGGGAGCATTGTAGAGAGCATCATTGAGAAGAAGGTTGGGCGAGAACACATACGTGTTTCAAGCCATTGTTGACCGGGAAATATTTCCACAACTCACTATTTTACAAGTTCCATCATTTCATTAAGAAACTTTCCAATCATGGTGATGATAATAGAGGTGCATCTAGCTTTGAGATGACTTTCTATAGATCATCACGACTGACCGTGTCTAACGCCTTGGTCAGGTCAACAAAGGTGGTACAGAGGTCCTAGTGTTACTCCTGGATTTTCTCATAAAGTGACGAGCTGTAAATATCACATGTACTGTTCCGCTGCTGCTCGTTCGAAAGCTGCACGGACTCTCGGGCAGGAGACCTTGTGGCAAATGTTTGTGGAGTTTGTGAGGTTGAACCTTATAAGATGCTTATGCATTTTTTTCAGTTTAAGCATTTAAGCTGGTTTGAGCATTTTAACTATTTCAACCAGTTAAGCTGGATTGTGCAATTTGTCAGTTTAACTGTATTCGCCGAGAGTCGATTAGGCATGACTCTAGCAAGGAATTTGCCTAAAACTGACGGCGGTAACGGTGTTCCATCGTGGTTGTCGCAGGACTGCCTGTTTCCTCGCTCTTACAATTGGACAATAATAGCCTTATTGAAGTCTTGAGGTAGAACATCTTTGCTCCAAAAGGATTAGAACATTTCATACAGATTTTGGGTGACTATTTTATTACCTGCCTTTCATATTTACGCAGGAATGGCGTCTGCCCCTGGAGCCAGGTGTCTTGCATTTTTCTGAGATGCTCTTGAGTTTACTATTGCAGGCAATAAAGACTTTCATTTCGATACTGATGTTGCGCTGACTTGATAGGCAAGAAAGTGCTTACGTTTCTGCTCTAAGAGTTCCTTTATTTCCACACGTTGTCATCAAACCAATCCTGATTTTCCTAAGAGACCGAGCCTAACTGTTGCAGTGATGCAGTATAGAAAAATCCACTCCTCTTTAAGACTTGTTTCACGGAAATGGAGATCAGGAAGCTTATCCATGAGGTCACTGATGACTTAAGTTCATTCATTTTCCCGAATAAAAGATTCCAGTTCACATGGAGGAATATTAATTTCATAATCATCTCAACTATATCTCTGTGGCTTAACGGACGTTTCTTTTTTGGTGTTTTAATCTTCTGTAGTGTCACAGTAAGAACTGCAATAACTTAGGTGGCTTCGCCTCCTATATATAGGAGATGCGAATTTTTCACACCTTGTGCGAATGTTTTAAAGGTGTTTCTGAGAAATTGCACCACAATATCTCACCTTTTATGCAAAATTTTGTGATTATTTTGAAAAACATTGCTGAGGCCTATTTTGAGATATTAATAAAGTTGTGTTC